GTAGTCCGCAAATGAATAAAATGGTAGAAATTGTAATCTGTTAATAAATTTGTTATTGCACAGAGATGTAATTAAAGCAAATCGGTATAAATATAAATAAGCACCTGCCGTTGCCGTAAATGCGTTGTACAGTCAGAATATAAAATTAGTCAAAGTATAAAAAGATATACCGTAAAAAAATTGAAGCAAAATTGAACATCCTGTGTGTGCACCGAGATAGATACGTTGTTAATCATATAAATGCATCTTTATGTAACGAATATTTTCTCGGAGTTTTTATCTAATCATTATCCCTAATTGACATGATTCATTTTCAGATTTGAGATACTGAATTTTTCCTTATCGCGTAAAACGTATATCATAAATAATCGTAACTTAAAGAGACAACTTTAAAGCGTTTTAAAATAGAACACGCATACAATCAGAAAATGATCCGTGCGACGCTTTCCCTGTACAATATAACTTTTTTTTACAAATATTCTCAATAAAAACTTTACTAAAGCAATCAGTTTTAATTAAACAAATGTAAGCATGTCGTACGAACACTTTAATTTCTGACGCGGCTTATAAACTCGGTCTCGACACTCCCATTAAAGTCGATAATACTGTATATTTGCGCACGCGTTATAATAAAAGCGAGAGTATCTGTCCGTCTCTCGGCGAAACTCCTGCGGATGTGCTCCGCTTGGGAGAAATAAATAAACCCGCTTCTCTACATCTAATTTTGCAGCCTTCGGTCCCTTCGAACTTCTTCGCGATCCCATATTGTACCCCTCGTGAATTCTCCCCGTCGTGCATTCTTCGCTATGTAATAGGCTTAAAATACGATGCAAATGGAGCCAAGAGGCCTCGCGGTTCGTACATAAAGTATATTCTAAGCCGCGCGACACTTATATAACCACCAGAGCTAGAACTTCCGCGCGCAGATTGCGTTGTCTCAAACCAAAATATCTCACCTTTCCCAGTAGCCCTGTCTCTACACAGTTATACTATAAACACAATAAAATACACTCTGTATGTAGGTTGTTTTGATAAATGTGTGTCGATAAGCGTAAGTAAAAAGTGTGTGTACGCTGTGATGAAATTCAGCCGCCACACGCAATCTTATCGGGAGCGTCATATTTTCTATAATGAACAATCGGCTCGCGTGTTTTCAATCTAACTGGACAATGCCGATGAGAATTATCTCTTTAAAGAGACGCGTGCACACATTTATATGCGTAAATATTTAGAATTTCTAATATGTGTATCACTGTGTGTCAGCTGAATAAATGCTGTCACTGTTAGGCATATTGACGAAATGTTTTATCGACCGCAAGAGATCGCCTCCTGCTTCCGCAGCCCCCGTAAAAAAACTTATTTACGAGAAATGTAAATGCGTTATTTATCATCGAACGCAGACTATTGCGTGCGAGAGCGCGTCTGCTGTCCCCAATCAACATTTTTTTTTTTTTTTTTTCTTTCCACTCAGAGACACGATCTAGCGTCACCATGTCAACTACAAATGCTAATATACACAGTGATACCGGGACATGTATAGGTAGGTGGAAGAGTGTGCGCTATGTACCCAGAGGGGAAAAAAAAAAAAAAAGACTATAGTCGCATCACGGCGCAACATTCTTTTATTTCCAAAGCATCCGTTCGCCGTCGTGCGTCTTTCTACGATACAAGACACTGTGTAGGAAGGTCATAATGATCTCATATCTTTATTCATAAACATCCCACAGACATAACGAGCAACGAGGACAAAAGTATCGTGCATTTGTGATATATTATTCAGTGTCCTAGCTGGTGCTACTCATATGTGTTAAAAAGTATTGTTGTTTTCACGGGATTTTATACAACTGTAAATTTCATAAAGTCTCTCGATGTTCAAGGGATAAATATGTGTGTGTGTGTGTGTGTGTGTGTATTATGTTGTATACATATACTCTCTGAATCTGAATCAGTGGATAATCACTGGTATCAGTGCCAAGTATGCCACTGGTAATCAGTGAATGAAATGTGAGATCCCTCATCTAGCTAAGTTTTATTAGGTGATCTAATCAACCTTGTTTTAGTGGACAAATTCAATGAATATGATATTAGAAGATTGAAATTACACTGTAAAAAATAAAACGTTAATTTTAACCCAAAGACGTTGAGTGGATTTTCTGAGACATGCAAAAATGTCAAAATTAACATTTTCACATTTTTGGGTTAAAATTAACGTTTTATTTTTTACAGTGTAATATCAGTACGTTTATTGTATAATGCTCAAACTTTCCTTCTTTTTTAGTTAAACTTCACCGACTCTGATTATCCAGTGCCTATAGTACGCCACTGGGTAATCGCAGTGACTATAGTCCACTGATTCAGATTTAAAGAGTAATATTTCACGTCCATTTAATCGTTGAAGAGCACTTTTCAATTTAATTCTAACTCGTTGCTAATAAATTTCTAAAGAGATCCTCGAAATAACTTCTATTAAGTCGTAAAGCTTATATAATAAGAAGCTTAAGTTAAAGCTAAAGCTTATGTAAGTAAAAACTTATATATCCGCCGTTACAATAATATTTCCTCATCTGATCATAGAGTAATATTGTGAGTCCAATAGTTTCGCAAAACAATATCCGGATTTTTTTTAAAAGAAACTTCCTGTTAAGAATCAAAATTTTATATGTATTGATACAACTAAATGAAATGTCTCCATTCTGAAACTATTTTAGTAGAAAGTAAAGTTATTTTAAAACGCACGCAACCGAGTAATTCCCCGTTTTAAGATTAGCCAATTCCAAACGTTAAAGCAATCGTTATTGCTTCACGTAGCCACGTCTGTAAAAATCTTTTGAAATCTGTCACTTACTAAAGTCCCGTCTCGTCTGCAAGACACGCAATTGAGATTACCGAGATGCTTCAGGAAAAGTGGCGCAATCGATGTATCAAAATAAAACACATTTGTGAGCGGGAATATTTGTGAAACGCGTCTTTATTAATTGCACCATGATTTTGAATTTTAATTATCACTTGTTAGATCTGTTATTATTTCACAAAACTTTTTATTCTTGTCCTTAATTCACAATAATCGTAATTAACACATACAACTATTCTCGCGTTAATCTATTAATTCGTCAAATAAAGATAATATTTTATGAATTGATCTTTGGATATTCCGGCGCCATTTTAAGAATTTGTATATAATCGTTGATTTTTCTAGATAAAACTATAGAGCTGATAATCTCCGAGTACAAAAGACGCAATTGAGACCGTGATAATGTTTGTTTCGAGATAACTACTAGCGCGACTACTACACGCGTGACGTCGATTTTTATGTCTGTCGCTACTTATCTTAATAGAGTCTATACTTCCGCAACCCCAAAAAAAGAAACCGGCGAAGCGTCTTTAAGTCTCGTATCGTAACAACGTTACTCAAGAAATCGCGAATGCATTCTGTATAAGAATGTAAGTGGCTCTCAATAAAGCTCGATGTATGGCTCAGTGTATGGTAATCTCGCACGCTTCGGACATTTCGTGCAGAGAGATGCGGAGAGATGCGAGGCTAGTTTTCACAGCAGGGGCAGACCCAAGCAGCAGATCCTGTCTCGGCTTCGAGTTGGATCTTTGAAAGACGTGTTCTTTCAGGTTCTATTATCAAAAACCAGAACTCACAGACCCCCAGAAACAGACTATATCTCGCACGAATACCTGACTGCTCCCTCCTTTGGACTGCAAGTCCTTTCACGTACCCTTCCTTCATTTCCCTCATACTACACACACATTCCTGACTATCACAGTGATGTTGGACTCTGTCCGTGCGGGCTTTCTTTTTTAAAATATAAATTCGCCGCGTATAACGAGACTTAAGGTAAATGTACCAGTTCGTGGACACGATCCAATTGTTAAACTTTTGATGATATGTGTTACTCTAAATAAATTTTTAAGCAATTTTTCATATTATTTAGAAATTAAGTATTATATAATTTATTCATATTAAAAATGATACTTTTGTAAAAAAAAATTTCGTTTATGGACAATCGTCCATTTATTAGGACATTCACGTGTATCAATTATTGGACATTCCTTAGCGTACCTGTCTACTGCAAACATATTTTGTATATATTACATATAAAACTTCACTAATTACAATTTCGATAAACTTTTTTGAACAATCTTGATTGATAAGTAAGTAAAATGCGATTCTCTTCTATAATAAGAACATTGCTTATTATTTGTCCAATAATTGGGTCATACTTTTGTGGACACGTCACATTTTTTGTCCAATAATTAGGACATTTGAATCATATTATATTTATGACTAAATACAATTTATAATAAACGCAAATAACATATTTGATAATGGATTTAGTTTCAGAAAACATCCATTCTTACTAAGCATGTGTAATAAACTAAAATTTTCATGTTTCTAAAGTTTAAATAAATGATTTCGTCGTGCAATTCCTTAACTGTCCAATAACCGGTACATTTACCTTATGTGTCAACGAAAATTAGCACCCCACTTTCAGAAATTCGATGGAAACAACAGAGAGATTTATACAACATTCTTGAAATATGATTTCTAAAAAGCCCTTCCTCTTAAAAAAAAAAAAAAAAAAAAACTATAGAAACGAAAGAGAAAATACAATGTTAATTTTAACTTAAAGTCCACTATATATACGTTTTTAAGTTAAAATTAACATTTTATTTTTTACAGTGTAAAACAACAAAAATGAGATAACTTTTTTTAATACAATAAAATCACAGTGCTAAAATTCGGTTTTAGGCGCGTAACTTTTTTTATTTGTAGTAACCATATTACTGAAAAAATAGTTAACACTTGAGACCTTTCGGTCCTTCTTTAATGGCTTCGAAAATATTTGCTAGATAATTTTTATCCGACATCTTTCTTCCACCGCATCTTTTGCCGCATTAGTAAAATATTTTACCTTTACACGGTTTAAAAGCCGTCGGGAGATCGACGACTCCAGTTTATGTACACATAAGAGAAGAAAAACGTGACTCACCTATGCAGCTGTACGGGAGTGGACCTCGCAGGTACGTGCTGGTTATGCGAAGTTGGTGGTTGAGGCTGACCTCTGCCGGGGTTCGACGTCGCGAGCGAGTGGCCGTGGGACCCATGGGGGTGACCGTGGGGGTGGGAGTGCGGGTGCGGAGGAAGGGCGTGCGGGTGTGGATGATGATGGTGATGCAGATCTCCCCCCACTGGGCCCACAGGGCCCACCGGACCCCCCACCCCCAGTCCACTCACTACCTGAACTTGCTTGCCCACTGTCTCCATCACCCCTAGCGCATTGTGAACTGAAACAGATATATATAGATCATTCTGTAGAAATATAAGGTAATACTTCCTCCTGCAGAGAGAGAGAGAACTGCAGGATTTTTCAACAATCAAAACGTGACGGACAAGGAGTGGTATTTGTAAAACTTTCAAGTAAAATAAAAATCATATAAGAGAAAACAAACGTCACATTTCCCTAATATCGTGCAGGCAGGTGTTGCAAATTTCGAAAACGATTTAAGTCAAACTCAATCGCGTAACGGAGTTGTTGTCTCCAGAGTCTATCGGTAGACCATTATGATTCCTGTGACCATTAATAGCGGATCAATTATGGCGATACACACGTCATCCGATATCGCTCAATTATCATCGACGTAGTTTTTCATATGTCCACTTAGCGTTGAATAGATTGAATGCATCAATAGCGGCCAGTCATGACATTGCGGAAATGTACGCGGTCTGTTTATCGTGCCTTTCCTTTCGCAATGGCGAGGTATATCAATCGCAGGTAGAAATTAAAAGCAACACGAATGCGAGAAACGCGCATCGTGCAGTGTGCAATTACAGTTACATTGAAAACGGGAAGTAGATCGAATTTCTTGCCGATTCACCTCGAGTCTTTGTAACGGCACAAAATACGCGTCTATTAACTCTTTACGAGCAGAATTAAGGATAATAATTTAAGAGAGAGAGACAATCGATGCAAAGTTACATTGCTATATAAAAGAACATAAGATATACAAGTATATATATCTTTTTCGAAATCAAAACAGAAATGTGATTACGTTACTATGTGTATAATTAAAAGTTTGACAGAATTAGTTTAAATTTGACCAACAGCTCTCCAGCCTGACTCTCTCCAGTTCTTAAAATTCTCAAACAGCTCGGCTCGAATTGCTTTTGCAAAGCACCGAGATATATCTTGTATAATGTATATGCCAGCATGAATTGCACATTTATAGAAATTCTTTACTTCTCACATGGCTGGCATAAATGAACTTAGAGGCACACACGGTAATACATATATTCATGCCGGAGATGGTGAACGAATAAGTGCTGCATACGTATACGGCAAAATAAAATACAAATGTGTACAGGTTCCGCGCAATGCATAAATTTATGGCTGTGCGCATGTCTCCGTCAAAATGTATCGAAAAATATTCTGTACGTAAGACAGTGCTTCTCAAATTCTTGCAGTATACTCTCGAATAAATTTCTCTATATCGTCAACTAAATTTAAGTTTGTAAATTTTTTATATTTCAGGCGATCTCTTTCCGATAATAGAATTTATCAATATTAATTCATTTTTATATGAATATTGAATATAAACAAAAGTATGTATTATAGTACGAATTTATAGACGCACTAGAAACAGATCTAGACGAAGATAAATATTTTAAACTATTCAAAGAAGAAAGAAGGTCTATACATTAGTCAAAGCGATAACGTGTTTCATTAATTAATTTATTACAACACACATACGTATGTACTTTGAAATTTCCGCATTGGATCTTTTAAGTGTTGTATCGTTTGAGAAATAAAAATAACCAAAGTTGAAAGAAAACAATGTTAATACCTTAATATAATTTTTGAGAAACATGCGAGAGGAAAGTGACGAAAAGAAAATATCTAACATTTTATCTCGGTTCAGAAAATTTTAAGAAAGTAACTAAGCTAAAAATAGTTGACCCCATGAATTTTTAATACTGCTAATTCTGATTGTATTTGCAAAAACTTAAAAATATACGAACTGTGCAGCTTCATTTATAGATAAAAATATAATTTGTATCAATTATTCACACAAATATATATTGACATATTTTTTCTACATGTGAATAATGATATAAAATAATTTCGTGCTATTAATAAAAGTTTACTTGGTTCATTTTTAATAATGTTAAATATTAGATAGTGTGATAAAATAAAAGAGAAATTTTCTAAAATGTATTAAAAAATTGCAAAATTAATTGAATATCAACATAAAAAAATGCTTAGGTTAGCACATCACATCAACAACTTAAAATATAAAATATAATTTATAATGGAAGTAATTTATGAAAAATTAGATTTATATCTCACGCGTTATATACCGTCCATCTGGGTTATCGATTTATTAAAATAATACGAAAGGATATTTCTACACATTAACGCATTGTTTTAATTTAAAAAGTCCCCCCTCCATCTCTCTCTTTTTTCCTTTAATTTCACGACAATTTCAAATCCAAAACAGGTATCGACAACGCAATTAAGATTAATGAGGGTAAAAATATAGCACCGCGGCATCATTGTATTATATAGAAAGCGGTGTAGAGTCGTGGACTTTGCAACGTTATAGACCGTCGGTGGTGTGCCGTCTGCATATTCAACGCCAGACAGCAAGCCGTCGTCACGCGAGCAAGCCCGGCGCAATTCCGTAAAGAAAGGAAAAGTTCAGGACGCGCGGCGATGTGCAATAGACAGACGTCGGCGCGCTCGCAGGCGCGTTATAACGGCACTGTAATAGTAATCGATGTGCGGCGAGCGAGCGATTCAGAGGGAGAATCGCGAAAACGAATCGAGAGCAAATCAAATTCACGAGTGACACAAGTTTCGCGCAAATGGGAGCGCGGGCAATCGATGCTCAACGTGTATATATATATATATATAGTCGTACGCGAATCGGACAACGTTGGAACAAGCTAAACCCATCGCTGTATTACAGAGTGAAATTACGGGAAATGTGTGTTCGATCGCTTGAAAATGTATTTAATCACTTTATCATCATCGCGCGGGCTCGAAAATTTACAACGCCTTCGCCGCGCGATTTCACACGCCGGCGAATTTTATTTGAAATTTATTATTCGTTATACATGCCACCGGAGATCTATCGATGAAAAGGATTCATCGATTGTTACATCGATCTATGTATTGAAAATTCCGAAAAGTGATGCTCACCTTGGAAAAGAAATTACAATACATTTTCCGATGTTAATTATACGTATGCAAAATATAACTATATAAGGATGAAAGTAATAGAAGAGAGAAAAAGAATAATAATAACCGTCTCTGAATTCGAGATCTCATTAACGGAGTAAACGAGTCGGATACCGGGTGCCGGTGACAAGTAATCTCTGTCTCTGTCTTTCTCCCTTTTTTCCGGGAGGTGGGTGCATTACGTCATGGGCTGTCACGTCCACGGGCTATCGGAGCGCTCGCACGCGGTGAAGAGGGGAGGGGGGGGGGGGGGAAAACAACTAAAAATGACGGTGTAGGACGGCGCACGACGGTAGCGCGGGGCAACCGCCGGCACGGCCGTTAAAGCGGAACTACTCGGCGAAGGCGAATCTTCTTCCTGCTCGGAACGAACACGCGTATTTCCGTGACATCATTATAACCGAAAAAACGTCGCATACGAAAATCCACGGCAAATCCATGGCATATGATGTAACATTCCGTGCATTTTCGTACTATATGGATTGGTCGGTGCGGTGAAATTACGGCGAATCTCATGCCTTCGCGACGAATCCACGAAATTAAAACTCGCGCGGCTCATTCCGGCGGAACGTAATTCGCGTTTGGAAGAATTTTAGTGTAAAGCCGTAATCACACTGCGGGCGATTGTACGATTGCGATTGACGATTACTTCCCTAACCAATCGGAGCAAAGCAGTCACCGATTGATCATGGTTGAGAAAAATAAAATCCTCAATCGTCAATCACAAAATCGCGCGATCGCTATAGGGTGATTACGGCTTAACGCGAACGCGCCGACGGGAGAATCTTTTCCGCCTTCGTTCCACATATTCCCTTTTCGCTTTCTCTTTCCCTTCGCGTTCGTTTCCCCTCCGGTGGCGTCCCTTTCTAGCTCGCTTCCCACTCCTCGGCCGTTTTGTACTGGAACGCGGGATCGATATCTCAGAGTCCTATATATATAATAATAATAATACGTCTATGACAAAACGAAGTAGAGATATGCGCGCGAGGGAGACGACCGTGAGAAACGCGCGGGAATGAGGGAAAAAATCAATTAATTAAAGGCGACGAAGAACGTCGTTGGCGCGTATCGGCGCTAAACGCCGCAGCAGACCTATAACATATATATTCGTCCGGCATGTAGAGAGTCTCGTTGGAGAGAAAGCCATACGGAACTTGGGAAGGAAAGAGAGCCCCGTTGCCATCCGCCGCTTATATCCCCCGACTGAACTTCGCCGCGGCCGTAACGCGATCGCTCAAAACATTATGGTAAAACTCGTTTTCTTATTGAATAACACATCGAGTCCCGAGTTGAAACGTCAAATCTAAAATTAGAAACTCACCAGTTCTGACGTCCGGCCTGGACCGGACGCGGGCCGCGCGGGTAAATTAGGAGGGCTATCGCCGGGCTTGCGGCCCGCTTGGGGTACGCCAACGAGCTCCTCGGGTTCTTCTTAAGAACGTTATCGGACAGGGCCGACAATTACGCCGTGCTCCCCGTTCCTGGGAACGCCGCGGGCTCGCGAGGATACGGGAGCAGGCGATATACGGGGGGTGCGGATCACCGCAAGCAGTGAGGGGGCCCGCCCCCCGTGGTTCCCCGGATGGTGTCGCGACGATTCTACCGCGGCGAGCGCGTCCACGAACAACCCGCTCGTCGAATTTAGCGGCCGTGTGGTACTCGCGTACCATCGCACGGAGCGCTCGCCTCCCTCCCAGCTCCTCTCCGCCGGACCATCTTCTCCCCGCTGCAATTAACATAGCTATAAGGTTATTTTGCAACTAACTCAGACCGAACGCGGGATGCACGAGAGCGGGGGTGGCGGTGCAGATACCCGGGGGTCGACGCGGAGAGAGAGAGAGAGAGATGTCAGGGGTGAGCGTAGGTGGAGTCCCTACAAGAGGAGGCCCTCGCTCGGGGAAGCCCACTAGAGCGCCTATACTTGTTAGTTCCGATTATTTCGAAAGACTTTCAATCGATGTGTGATGATTTCGTAATTCCTTTTTTTTTTTTTTTCATACGAAACTACGAAAAGAACGACTTTGCTGAAGTATCTGAAAAAAAATTGAATAATAGATCTGAAAATAATTTCGTTGGACTGTCAAAATAATTACACGCAGGAGGAATCTCAAGCGCGCACGAGAACGCAGGAGAACGCTGCAAAAACTTTAAGACATTCTCTCGCAACCATGTTTAAGCGTGTCCTAATTATTTGGATGACCTAACCAAATTATTTTCAGATCTGTATCAGAAGCTAAACTTTTAGATGCTCGAACAAGAAATCCTTCTTTCCGTGTATAATTTAAAACGTCCGAGAAAAGTTTATCCTGTGATTTATAGAGACGTTAAACGGAATTTAATTAACAATTACTCATCCGTGTTATATTAATTAAGATACGAAACGTGTTACGCGGTATTCATTTCTCAGCCTTCCGACTCTAACCTGTAAGAGATTCGTAATCATCATTCTCCAGGGTAGACCTTCGCGGTTAACGCGATTCGCCACTCGAACCTCTAAAAATTGTCGAGGAGTTTATCCCGCGTTTTACTATTCTAAAAATTACCGCCCGGCGGCGGACATGTGCCCTTCATTATTACCCTTCCCTCACTCCGCAACTTTCTCTAAAACCGTCTTGCCAGTCGAGTGTCTGCGTCTCGTCTAACCGCACGAAGAAAGAAAGAAAGAGAAAGAGAGACGGGGGGGAGGGGGGTGGAAGGGGGGAGGAGAGAAAGAAAGAGACGCGAACCGTGCAGCTCGCACGAGCGGCCATCTTTCCTCACGCTTGGAAAAGAAGAACGACGGACTCGCCTGACGAAGTAACCAGCTACGGAGTGTGGAGTTCACGCACACCGACGCACCGAAGCGGTAACGCAACGCTTCACACGCACACGCAGCCGCGACCGTTATACCTGGATGGGAAACACGCAGGCGCGCGCGCGCGCGCGGCCACAACTTCAAAGTTTTAACCGGGCGCCACATAATATGCGTGCTCGGGAGAAACAACCGCTCTGGGAAAAAAATCACGCCGAAAATCTGGACGAATCGGGAGAGAAAATGTGACTGCAGTCTCGACTAAAAGTTTAATAAGTTCGATCGGTTTCTAATTCCTTAATTTTCAACTCAAATTTCAAATTGGATTCCAGCTTTTGAAGAAACCTTGTCTCTACCAGGGTTGCCATAAATTTTTTAATCGTAAAATTTCCTGACATTTCCCTGATTTACTGACAAAATTTTAAGATTTTTGATGATTTTTGATGAATTTTGAGATAGGAGAAACAACCGCTCTGAGAAGAAAATCGAAAATCTGGACGAATCGGGAATTCTAATTCGTTAATTTTCAACTCAAATTTCGAGATTTTTCCTGACTTTGAATAATACATATTTTGCAATGTCTCTTGTATTTCTATCGTCATACGGAAAATGTTAAATATTCTGTTGATCCAGTAACGTAACATTTTCTTCAGGAAACGAATTCCAAAAAAAAAAAAAAAAAGAAAGAAAAGGTAATCCAAACCAATCATAGAAGCACAAGGCAATATAAATTCATTTACAGCTATTTTATTTTCCCTGACAAGGGTGGTAAATCCCTGACTTTTCCTGACTTCCCTGATTTCCCTGACTTGTGGCAACCCTGGTAGACAATTAAATATCGTTTCGAGATGTAATGGTTTGAATCCCTCTGTAATTTAGTGGAGATATTTCCGCCGTGTGCCGCGTCGTCGTGCTCGCCGTGCCAGCGTAACATTGAAGGAAAATATTGCTCGCGATAATTACAGTATGGCGTGTGCGTTAACGTGACTTTCCGGAGTAATCGGAAAGTATGATGTCCCATTAACCCGACACACCGCGGCCGGCCCATTCTAGGCCACGTACTTTAATAAGCAAGACAGATACCGGCGGCGAATATCGTTAACGCGCGCGCGAGACTACGAAATGCCGCTAGAAGAAGAATGACGTTATTAACGACGCGCGTCTCGGCCGGAGCTCGTGAATATCGTTCGAAATTCAGCCTTGGACATTTTCATACGCTATAGGCCGCCGCGCGCGCCCGCGAGCTGCAACTAAATTACGGTAATTGCGAACTTTCTCGCTGACGCGTACACGTCACGCGTGTGTATTCCACGCACGCACGCACGCACGCACGCTGCGACGCCGACGGCGGCGTTGCGGTAATTAATGCCATATCGTGCCACAACAGACCGATGCGATGGTCCTCGAAGAAACGCGCGCGCACAGGTGTAACGATCAACGGTTTATTATTTCGCTCGCCTCCCGCCGTTCCTGTTTACAGAGAGACAGCGAGAAGAGCAGCAAAACGCAAAAGTCATTTTTGAAGAATGTTTTTCCGTACCAAGGCTGACGAGATAAATGAATTCAGAGTAATGCCGTAAGAATAATGGCTCTAAGAAGAATCTCGTATAAGACTCCGTAGAGCAACTGCATGTACGATCGTTGATAATATTATTATTATTGATTATTGTTTCTCTCGCGTCGCAGTTTTTTTTTAATCTGTACCGTCGTGTTTGTTGTTGTACCTTATAAGGTAAATGTACCGGTTATTGGACAGTTAAGGAATTGCACGACGAAATCATTTATTTATAAACTTTAGAAACATAAAAATTTTAGTTTATTACACATGCTTAGTAAGAATGGATGTTTTCTGAAACTAAATCCATTATCAAATACGTTATTTGCGTTTATTATAAATTGTATTTAGTCATAAATATAATATGATTCAAATGTCCTAATTATTGGACAAAAAATGTGACGTGTCCACAAAAGTATGACCCAATTATTGGACAAATAATAAGCAATGTTCTTATTATAGAAGAGAATCGCATTTTACTTACTTATCAATCAAGATTGCTCAAAAAAGTTTATCGAAATTGTAATTAGTGAAGTTTTATATAAAGTTTTATATGTAATACATACAAAATATGTTTACAGGTACGCTAAGGAATGTCCAATAATTGATACACGTGAATGTCCTAATAAATGGACGATTGTCCATAAACGAAATTTTTTTTTACAAAAGTATCATTTTTAATATGAATAAATTATATAATACTTAATTTCTAAATAATATGAAAAATTGTTTAAAAATTTATTTAGAGTAACACATATCATCAAAAGCTTAATGTTTAAAATTGTCACAATTTGTCCAACAATTGGGTCGTGTCCACGAACTGGTACATTTACCTTACTTGTAAATCTTTTCTTTTCATTGTGATTATTGTATTCAGTTTCTCTTTCTGTTTATTATTATTTGTATTTTAAATAACACTTCTCGATTATATCTTGCTATACTCTCTCTTTCTGGTAGGCATTTAGAGCAGCAGCAGATTTGCTGGTGCCTCATCATTTTGTGCACATGTATTCTATTTTATATTTACGTTTAAGGTACAAATTATATACCCTACATATTACATTTAGACCAGAATTCATTTTCATTTTATTCTTTTGTTAATGACACTTCACAGATTTTATTACTACCTATTGCTTTCTTATACTGTTTATTACTTTGACTAAACATACAAACTTCCAATTTTATAGTAATTTGACTATTCTAATATATACAATTACAACATCTAAGAACGTGAAGACTGATAGATATCTTAAAATTTTTTGTTAACATTGATAATAATCTTGCGATCGGTGTCGAAACGTGTCTATTGATATTTGTTTTTATTATTAAAATTAAATTAAATATCTACGATTTCTTATAAATCTTATGACTATAGTAAGTAAGAAGTTCTTACAAGTCTTATTACGATTCTACTTCGAATTTAAGCATTAGATTTGACAATGACGCGTATAAGCGAGATATTTATAACTATACATGTTTGTTTAAATTGACTCTTTTCCAGAAATAATTTGTATAATTGTAATATTTCAATACGATAACCGACCCATGAAGATTGAAAAAAAGTCTGCTTTTGTTATTATTAAAGAATACATAACGACATCTAATAAGTGTTTCCGCTAATAGACTTTGGCGTTGGCCTTATTGTTATTAAACATAATTTTCTTTTACCTAGTTACGATAGCAACGACCATAACAGTTATACAGTGAGGCAAACGCTTTATCGTTTTACGAATAATTTTTATTTTCTCCGTCGTCTACAGCGCGTCCCAAACATGACTACTACTTTACTCGGAAATTCCAAAGTTCAACTAAAAACCCGAGGCTAAGTTTATGCCCATCTTGCATTAACGATGTAAGAGAAAAAGAAGTGGAAAGGATTTTGTTAAGGATTGCAAACGCGATCCACACCCCCATCCCTTTCATTCTTCCGGTCCTTTTCCTCTGGTTCGCGATTCCACGAAGGAACTTGAGAAGAACTCAGAGCGCGCGATTGTTTTCGAAGTACACAGTAGATTAATCGCATTTCGGTCTACACGCGAGAGGAGAAAAAAAAGAGAGGACTCACCGGTAATGACGTCAGCCGTGGAAAGCGAACCGGATCTGAAGTTTTCCCGCGGCAGACAGCGGTCGATCCAGCGGCGCGGCGATTCGATTCACCGGCCTGGCCTGGCCGGATGACGGGGACGACGACGTCGACGACGATTCTTCTTCCGTGTTGCAATTACGAGGCAGAAACGCGCGCCCGTACACATATGGTACGCGAACGCACACACGCGGGGCGGCGCGTATTTCCTATTTCGAAAATTCGATCGGTCGATCGATCCGTGAAATCCGCGACGCCGCGACGTCACTCCACGGCATCCTCGGTGCGGAGGAGAAGAGTCGTCCTCTGTTTCCTATCCCTTTCCCTCACCTCCGCGCCACGACTCGACGTTCCTCTCTCCTCGCTCCTCTTCTTCTTCCTCTTCTTCTTCTTCGTCTTCTTCCTGCTTTCTGCCGCAGGTCGCACTGCACCACCGCGCACTGTCTCACCCGCCGCACTGTCACGCGGCACCGCAGCGGCACACACGCGTGGACACTGTCCGTAGAATCGCCGAAACTCACGTCTCTTCCTCTTCTTTCGCCGCCACTTGTTCGTGTCGCCGCTTCCGCTGCGATCTCTGCGGAAAGGACCGAGGAGGTCGTGGGAAAGTTGAAGTTAATCGCCGCGAACGTGGACAGGTCTACTCGGCAGGGAGAACGTACGCGGCGCGACGCGACGCGATTCGAAAACCTATTTCAACAAATTCACACTTTTACAACCTTATTTTTTTCATTACTACGTCGTGTGTGTGTGTGTGTGTGTTTGTATCTATCCCTTCATTGTGTTCGTGGTTATAACCACGTTCGTTGTTTACGTTCTTACGTCACGATTTATTTTTACCTACAGGTCGGGACAGTGAATTTGGATGCTGGCCACGGAGATGCCAAATAACTCGGATTACGAAGGGTTTCCTAGGTTAGTACACCTCTCGGTTACGCAATTCGAGAGTATTTCGGCTTCGTTTCATCCGACCGGACGAAGTAACCGCGACACGCGTTGTTTAATCGAAGAACGTTGCACCGAACATGCGCACATTATACATACAAAAGACACGTGTGTTACGTCGCGAGTGTACGATATGCCGATATCTTAGTACGTCTCGTGATGATCTCAAGATTTATATGCGACTGTAAAGTCGAGCGACTTGTAAATATTGAAAGCGTGTTAACGCTGGCTGTAAAAATCACGCCTCTCAGTGCGCGTTTCGTGCTTCCGCCTCGTCTTGGTTTAATTTACACTTTGTATCTTTTTCTCCAGTCATTAGAAAGCGAAAGCGAAGAGTGAAAGAAAGAGTTTTGAAATTCACGAAATTCAACTATCGATAGAAACGGGCATTACAGTTGATATCGGTATCGCGCGAGAGACACGCCGCCGTCACCTTGGAGCCCAGTCGTCGTTTTAACCGACTGACCCTATCGACGGCGGGCGATTAGACTGAAGCGTAGCGCTCGGCTTCCGGTTCAGCTGTTCGCACAAAGATCCGCATGTTTCTCCGACCCGCGTGCCTCACAGTGGTGTGTTTTGTTGCCCGTCGTCGTTTGTTTCCGCTCGGTGTTGCTCGTCCCGCTCCGTCCTCCCCACTTTCTCTCTTTCTCTCTCTCTCTTTCTCCTACCCTATATCGCTCGCCCCACCTCGTTGGCGCGCTCAGAAGGTAGGCGCACCTCGTGCGCCCGAGAATTTCCTCATTGACCCGCGCGCTCCGTATTCCACCTGCGACTCGTCATCACCGTTATTAATATCGTTCCACCGTCGCGGACCTCGTTATCGTTCCCACCAACGACGGCGGCGGGAATCGCGCTACCGTCGTCACCTCCGTTTTCATCGCCGCCTCCTACCGAGACAAAATTCGGCCAGCCGAATTATAACGATCGGTTACATTTATCGAACAATCGCGGTATCGACGATTCGTAATTACGATAAAGTAATTTAGTAATTTGCAATCACGATTAACGAACAGCTATGACTTGAACCAATCATTAATTATGACTTTTTAAGTAGGAAACGCGTCATTACAATTGGATCGACAGGTTGACGTGACATTTAGAAGAAAAAAAATAACGAGGCCACACTCGAGGTGGGTAGACTAGTGCGATATCTCGCGTTTGCTAACTAATGGAAAATTATGATTGAAGAATTTTACGCATCGCAGACAACGTTTCACGCGAGATAACAATTTCTAGCTCACTATGATTAAACATCTTTTGATCCTTTGTTATTTTTAAATCATAATTTATTTATGTAATTTTCATTGTCTCTGAAGAAGGCTAAAAAATGAACCGAAACATGCAAGCTTAATTGTTTGTAATAGATAAATTTGCTTGATGTATATCAGCGTTGCGTGAAGTTGTCTGCGCTTGACTCCTAGTGCCCTATTCTTTCTAAGTTAGTTTTTGATACCAATTTCGGTAAATTCGTTCCGATCAAGGACGATTCACTCGAATATGTTTCATTTTACGATGACGCGTATTACGATTTTGCGTACTGCTGTTTGGCACTTGTTTTACATTTCATTCACAAACGAGAGAAGAGGGAAAGAAAAAAAGTCGTCCAAGGAGTAAAACGCTCGCTCTCTCTCTCTCTCTCGATCTCGATCTCGGGCGACGAGATGACAACGAATGGTCCTCCCCTTTCCCCCTTTTACGCGGTCAGACACGACTCTCCCGATACCCTTCGCATCCCGCCGCCTCCTCGTTTGCTTCTTCTCGTTGTCGTTCCCATCCGACACACGTCGTCGTCGAGTACCGCCGATCCCAGTGGCCGAGAATTTCTCCTCTTTCGACAGCAACGGTGACCCCGGAGCACTTCTCCTGTGAAACAAAATACATCTCTCATTAAAATACATTTCAACAATGCCACTCGATCGGAGTGATTAACGACGATTATTTCAGGGAATGAAATCATTTCTATATGTATACTTGAATTGAAAATTGTTCCTCCGGAATTCGTGAAATTATTCCGATTTGAAAAATCTCGTCCGACATTGTTTTTTTTCTACTGTAAAATTATTACGCGGAAACGAGAGTCGCAAATTAGAATTAATCATACAGGCTAAATTAACAGGAGAAAATAAAGACACGCACACGTATAAGAGGAGTGACAAAAGAATTTGCCTTGTAGTTAATTACGAGTGGTATTAGAATGATCCTTTCATTGACTATTCGGTTTCCACTTCTTTTGCTCGGATACTGGCAGAAACTAATTACGTTACAGACTCGGTAGGGAGCACGATATAGGAGGTCACGCGATAACGAAACACTTGTAACTTCACAGAATATTCTATGTTTCGGTCTCTCTCTCTCTCTCTCTCCCTCTCTCTCTCTCTCTCTGTCTATTTTCCGCGTAATCGACGGCGATTACGTTCCGTGTACGTCTATATATTCTAACCATAAATGGGGATGAATTAACACGCAAATGAGTGATCGAACCGTAAACCGGTATAATGAAAAAAAAAAATGAAAAAAAACAAAGATGCGCGTTGTTAGCATCGATTTGGTACGTCGTTACTCATTATTGTCTGTGAGGTTGATAGAGGACTGAAAACACACACCGGAGATGTGTAGTGTGTAGTGGAAAGAAATTACGGTTGCATCAAGTTTAGGATAAGTGTTCACAATAATAAGCGGTTATTGACCCGTTATTATGCACGGTTTATAAATTCAAACAACTATAATGTATAGAAAACATAATGTGCAAAGTACACACATATAGATAAGTGTGTTACAGAGAGAAATGATGCGCGTATCGAAATATAATATAAAAAAAAAATACACGTATACTTGACAGCTTTACATAATTTCGAAGCTAGAATTCTGCATCTCTTTTATCAGTTTGTGTACCGTGTAATTCTGTAAACATTACAGATTACCTTACGAGGAGACGCATTGTCGGAAGCGCTTTTTTCTTCCCCCAATTCGGAATTTCTCGCGTGAAAGTGCCAACTACCTTTACGATAAGGAAAATTTCCTCGGATAAACCTCTCGGTCGTCGATCAGGGTATACCGCCGCCGCGGCGGCCGTCCGACGACGAGAGAAAAGAAGCGTAATGTATTTCGCAGGAAATCCGCACAGCAGCCGGAGACGGAGATACGGCAATTACGGTCGGGATACGTGTACCAAGCACGCAATGGGGGCGATCGATCGTTCCTCGCGCAGCACTGGGAAATACACCGCGGCGGGAGAAAGCATCTGACACGCGTTTGCGAATTGCGCCGCCCGCGCCGGTGTACAAGGAACCCGCGGGTCGATTCGCCGACGAGTTGAATACGCAACAATAGCAAAAATGGCATCAGCTGTGCGGGACAGCCTAGCTCGCTCTCTCTCTCTCTCTCTCTCTCCCTCGCGATCGATCTTTTTGTTATGCGGCACTGCCCGCGACCGTTGAAACTATTTTCAATCAAACGTTCGTTACCGCGAAGATGGTAACGTTAGGAAGAAAGTTCGAGAGATACTTCATTATGTGATCCAAGTAAAAATGTTTCAATTCGAGTTTGAATAAAATTGTCATCGGTCACAACTGCTCTCAACTTTTGCTCCAAATAACTAGAGTCCCTATAATAAGGAGTCTGGCCGATCTTTCTAGTTTGACAAAACATGGCGTCGTAGATGAAGGTGTGGTCAACCGATGTGAATACTATAAATATCGTAAACAGTATATAATCATTATAGATAAATAAAATCAATAATTTTTTAATACATAATTTGATAAAAGATCACAGACTGTGTAAAAAGTAAGTGAAATATATATATATAATAGAAAAGAAATTATACATGCTGACATAAAAATCGATTTCTAACCTTTAAAATTGTGTCTATTCAAAATGTGCATTATAACTAACAAATTTTATATAGAAAATGCCCGGCTGCTGCGTGCCTTATTGCTTTAATAGTACCAAATACAGTAAAAAAATTTGCGTATTTATGTTGGAAACTCACTATCTGTGCAGTTTGTGTTGAATTTTTTAATATATCGAGTGTTAATTTAACATAATGTGATTATGTTGTTTAAAAATTTTGTATGAAATTGATATTCAACGTTTCTTTGTGTCAAAATGACACAATTTAT